AAGCTGAAGAAGAAGAAGAAGAAGAAGAAGAAGAAGAAGAAGAAGAAGAAGAAGAAGAATTAGTGCAAACTGATTGCAAATACAGAGGTTTTAAAAAAAATCGAAGTGGGAATGTCGTGGTGGGGAAAACGAGGAGAGAAGAAGAAGAAGAAGAGGAAGAAGAGGTAGAATAATTAGGACAACGAACTGCAAATGAAGCGATTTAAAAAAAGATAAAATCGAAGTGGGGATGTCATGGTGGGAAAAACGAGGAGAGAAGAAGAAGAAGAAGAAGAAGAAGAAGAAGAAGAAGAAGAAGAAGAAGAAGAAGAAGAATTGGGGCATACAAATGTTGAAATGAAGAAGAAGAAGAAGAAGAAGAAGAATTGGGGCATNTGTTGAAATGAAGAAGAAGAAGAAGAAGAAGAAGAAGAAGAAGAATTGGGGCATACAAATGTTGAAATGAAGAAGAAGAAGAAGAAGAAGAAGAAGAAGAAGAAGAAGGAAGGTGGAAGCTTTTCTCTCTCTCTCTCCGGCTGTCAATCTCTCTCTCACACACACACTGACCGGTAGAGGCAGAAAGCAGCAGCCTTTCTTGAATGCCACAACGCAGGAACCTTCGACGTCCAAACCAGGTGAGTGGACTCCCCCACCTCACCTCACCTGTCACCAACCATCATTTCCCCCCCCCATCTCCTCCACCCTGCCCATGTCTCCCTGCTTCCACACACCTGCCAACAATCTTCTCACCTCCCCAGGCAATGTTGCCCACACTCACGGCTGCCCACAATGCCTCCGCAGGAGAATGAGAAGAGTGTGGGCAGCCACACTTTCTCATTGCCACCAACCCGTGGAAATGCCGGCACTGACGGTCGGTGGCCTCTGGGACCCAGGCCGCGCCTGAACGACCGACAACCCCAGTATCGGCCCGAGCCCCCTCAACTGGGCCTTGGGGGTGCGGGGCCCCGCCGCGCAAAAGTGCTGTAGGCCGACCACCGCCGACCGGTCGGCGCCGACCACCAAAACGATCGGCAGCCCAGCATCCGAATGACCAAGGTCCGCCGACCGTCGGCGGGTGCAACCTTGTTTACAACCCCCCTCCCTCCAATGGCACCCCCTCTCAGTCTCTATGGATGTTTTGTTTAGTTTATGGTGAAGAGAGATCATTTAGTTATGTGAGGGTTGTATCGCGCAATTGGTGAAGCAGCGTGGGCTCATCTGGTTGATCCTAATTACCCTCGATCATGTGGGCAAAGCAGCGTGGGCTGATCTTGTCTATCCGAATTAACCTATCTCTATCCTGAGACTATTCATGTGCCTCAGCATATCTCTTAAACAAATTCCCGGACTCTATTCTCTTGGACGGTATGTCCAAAACTATGATCCCTGGGTATTTTCGCCGTTCTTTTCCAAAGCAACACCCTTGCCCCATTGGCCAACTGCAAGGACCATGTTGTATCTGAAAGTACGCCTGAATGGATGTCCTAATGCAGTCCATTACCCGGCTCCTCGATACTGCTGTGGTAGATTTTCCTTAGTTGCCAACAAAATAGCTGCTCTCAACATTTCAGCAGCATATTAGAAGCCTTGTCCTCTCTGTTCACCCTCATCAAGGAGCCTACCAGCATGTAGGCCGCTTTCCTCTGCCATATCTGTTGCCACCATTCCCGGAATTCCTGTGCGACTGGGCATTGAACAAATAGAGAGTTTATGCACTTCTGTCGAACAGAACGTGGTTGATATGTATTTCTTACATAGTATGCTTATGCAGGCACCACCTGCATCATATGCACCTGCAGTGTGACGATGATGGGATCAAACATTCACACAACAGAGAGCACCACCTTGACAGTGATGGAGCCACCTTGACAGGGAATCCTTATTGTGTGATTGTGTGCTCTTTTTTTTGCTTAAGTTATGTTATTCTTTAAGCTTTGCCCCAGCCACATAACATCACCCAGCCCACATTATACGCACAGACGCACACACGTTCTGGTCTCTGCTCAAGTAGGTTGATTGGCTAGGATTGGACGTGTACTAGCAGGTCATACTCATGGTAAGCTGGATGTGCTTTGATGCTTCTGATTATGGCATACTTCTCTGAGATATCCTATATGCTTGACCCTGATAAATGCAAGGGCTTCTCCTACTGTGGAAGATTGAACATGTACTGGTGTGTCGATACGTCTTCTGCCCAGAAAAGTGAGTCTGCCTTGAGTTCGTTGTCTGCTATGATTTCGTTATGTTATGGAGTGAAAGTTGTGAAACTGACCTGAACTAAATAAACTTGTGAAACTGACCTGAATTAAATAAACTAAGTCAGTGTTATTGCTTTGTCTCTATGACTGACGTTTGGCTTCCCTTCAGGAGCCGAGGTCCTGTGCTGGCAGTTACCGCAAGGGCCCAATTTCCTGCCCTTTCCTTCCTTGCAGCGAGTATAGTTAGCTCCCCCCCCAAGGTGTGCCAGACTCACGTGAGTACAGTTAGCTCCTCACCCAAGGTATGCCAGACTCAGGTGGGGAGTACTCTACTCAACTCAACCCTGCACGAGGTCCTCCGTGACATAAACCTTGTACACAGGAGTTCCTGGTGATATGATCGGACACCTTCCTAACAGAATAGCTAGTCTTGTTGTGGCTAGCAACTCAACCCTGCACGAGGTCCTCCTTGACATAAACCTTGTACACGGGAGTTCCTGGTGGGGAGTACTCTACTCAACTCAACCCTGCACGAGGTCCTCCTTGACATAAACCTTGTACACAGGAGTTCCTGGTGATATGATCGGACACCTTCCTAACAGAATAGCTAGTATTGTTGTGGCTAGCAACTAGGGCAGTTGTCCTGAGCACACTCACAGGTGGAGGCATTTTTCGCACTAGCCGTGCCATCACTTGGAAAACTCTGTGGCAAGTGCCACCTCTTGCGGATGCCGACAGCTTCCCGGTGCTGAGCCGATGGACCTAAAACCTTGGACCATTGTGTTACCTTTTCACTAGGTTCTCCTTTTTGATGAATCATTTCGTATGAGCCATGCTCTTTTCCAGATAGTGGATCTTCAGGATTTTGAAAATTTGTCGCCGAGGATGGAAGAAACACAACCTGAGAAATCAAGGAAGGGATTCGGATGGGGATTTTCGTGCTGGTGGCATGGCACAAACAATGTCTCCTTACGATCCCCTCTACGGCAACACCCCCCTCACTCTTCCTCTACAACAACAGTGGCACTCCTGCTACTCGTCCAAAGTACTCACTTTCGTCACTGTCACCTCCATTACTCCATGGAAGGCAACCACCCTTCCACTTTGCTGTCTGGCGCCTGGAATGTGTAGACCTGGAATGTATAGACCCCTATCTCTATTTGAATGCTGATGGCTCCATCAATCTTGAATTGTTCAAGCGTGCAGCTACTCATGAAGGGTTTTGGGTTCGGCGCCTCACCACCCTATACCCTTGGGGCTTCAACAGCATTCTCCCACAAGGGCAACTACCCTGTCGGCTGGGGCTGTCAACATACTGACACCCTGCCTTATCTCTTGCACTCAAAGCACTTAAATCTCCACCCACTCTTCATCCAATCCTTGGAGTCACCCAGCGACTCAACCTTTCCCAATCTGCACCTCGCTCAAGGACTCGCCGACCTTCAGTCTTGGACCTGCATAACAGGCCCTCTCATAAACCTTTTGCAAGTGTAACAGTGGCCTCTCGCTCACTTTGTCATGGTTTAATCACCAGTGGCCTTGCCCTTCGTCATCATCAACACATTCATGGTCAGATCAGCGATCACAGATGCCTTATCAGCGGTGGCAACCATGGTTTCAAGATAACTTCCATTTAGACAGCATGATCACGACGCCTTATCTCCGCCGCTGCCTCCTAGACAGCATCCTGGTTTGTACTTGGACAGCATAATCACGGTGGCCCCGTCAGTTATCAGAGATCTACTCCGACGCCATGCTCGCAACGACATGGACAACGTTGTTGCTCTCAATACACACTAGCCAGGAATAGTATATGCCGAGTCTGATGCCCACAATGTGGCAACATTTATGTCAGTGCTGCAGGCCTGCATGTGCACCAGACATGAGGTGCAGCCGCCTGTGCAGCATTTGCATGACTAGCAGCCACTCTGAGTACAAGTGCGGCTGATCAGCTTCCGCTTCCCGCAACTGACCCACCCACTTCTCATCCACCTAGCTCCGCGCAGCCACCTGTGCAGCATTTGCACGAATAGCAGCCACTCTAAGCACAAGTGCGGCTGATCAGCTTCCTCTTCCTGCAACTGACCCACCCGCTCCTCATCCACCTAGCCCCGATTGCTCCCCCAGCTCCAACTGACAATGGGCCACCTTCTCATCACTTGATGGAGCCCCAGGCTGGAGATAATTGCACTCCGGAATGCATGCTAGAGCCAGTGGAGTAAATACAGTCAGAAGAACCTGACAGATCAGTATCTGCATTAGCCGTCTCTATGACTGTGCAACGCAGACCGTATACACACTGTGCTGCAAGGGTAGCCATGGCGGGCTCGCTTGTTTTGAAAATGGGCATAGCCCTTAATGTACAGTGTTTAGCAGGATTTGAACTTGTCACCTGGTTATGAACAATGTTATGGGTGTACCATTTGCCCACAAGGCATGTTGTATTTAGCAGGATTTGAACTTGTCACCTGGTTATGAACAATGTTATGGGTGTACCATTTGCCCACAAGGCATGTTGTAATGGTGGATTGATACTGATGTCACGGCATGCATTGCTTTTGTCTATTGAAGAGTAGCGAGTTTATGCAAATGGAACATGGTTGATGTGGCTGTCGCTCATATAATAACAATTTTGTGTGAATTGTATGTTTATCCAGGGATCACCTGCATCATGGACCTGCCAGAGCAGTTTGACAGTGATGGAGCGGAACTTTTACCCACAAAGTGGCATGGATTGACCGGACTGCTTCTGCTCCTGTCTGCCCCTGTTTTGGTTTCTGTATACATCTGTGGCTTGGTTGTGGTGTGTGTTTGTATGTGCAGCCTATCTACAGGAGCTGGTTCCAGAAAAGTGTGCTAGGCCATGTAGAGAAGGGTCATTGCGAGGTGGATGTTGTGGTAGAGGATTGGGAGGGCAGCAGATGGGGCATGACATGGCACCATCGTAAAAGTGTGTTGCTGAATGGGTGGGCAAACCTGATGAACTTCCATTCACTTGCATTTGGAGATTTCATCGTGTTTGAAACGGTTGGACCATCACTGTTAAAGATCTATGCGTTCTGTATTGGGGATGAGGAAGATGGGCATGGTGCGATTCAGGAACAGGACGGTGATGGAGAATATCGGTGCGGTAAACGACTGTTGGAGGCAAGGAAAAGGCTGCGGCAGGCAAAGCGAAGGAAGGCTGGCACAGTCACACATCCCTATCAGCAGTCTCCAGATTCAGGACTGCATCAGTCCTCTGTGATCAATTATGAGCATGTTCATCTTAGCGCGTGCAATAATGAGGGGGAAAGTAGCGGGCATGCAATGCGATTTATCAGTAACAAGGGCATTGTTGCCTTTAAACAAGAGAGAGGAGCAGGTGCATCTCTAGTCACAGAGACACATATTGACACATTGCAGGGTGTCGGTGATGACAAGGCAGAATGTCGGCGAAGTAACAGGAAAAGGAGAGTTAAGAGCACTGTTGCAGCACTGTTCCAGAAGAAGATGCGGGTGGAGAAGGAGAGGGAGGAAAACAAGGATGATGTGAAGGAACATAAGGACAGAAAACTAGTTGATCAGTACGTTACATTGCGAAGGCCAATATTGCAAGAGGAGAGAAAAGCAGTGATGGAAAAAGTGGAGGCATTTGTTTCTGACTATCCTACGTTTTCCTGCAAGATGACACCTTCTGTGCTTCGGAATTGGCTGGTAAGATGACGATGCTTGACCGACCTGTATTGACTGAGGTTTGGGGAAGGAGGGTTAGGGAGATTCTGTTTGCTCTCAGCTCCACATGCCCATATCCCATATCATATGGCTGTTGATGCCCAAGGTGTGATGGACCACAGTCCTACCCTCTCAGCAGGGTTTGATTTCATGTTGGAGATCAAAATAGTGGCGGCTGATTCTGCCAAGATATAAGCAGATGACCATACTCGCTTCCTGTCGTACACACAAACTTCCTGAGCTAACAGGTGGCTGAGAGTGCAAAGAGACGGACCTGCCTGTTTTCCCTGTTTCAGTCCGTTATGGCCAATTGGATCCCTGATAAATCAGGAATGAGTGAAATCAGTTCTTCCAACTCCTCTGAGGGTAGTAGTTTTTAGAGAAGTACAGGAACCAGCTTCTAGACGAGGTTTTGTGATCTGTGCTGTGTATTAGGAACCTCTCTCCAGCGTATTGTATATGTCCATGCTTATGCAGGGTCCTGGAGTTGTCTAGAAGGACACCGGATGCCTAACTGTTAAAATCCAGACTTCTGGATTTCAGGGCCTGTCTGATACATCAACATGCATGATGTCCGACCTGTCTATCCAGATCTATCCATATCCTTTTCTAGATCTCCAGATCTGAACACACTGGAGGAAAAGCAGGGTCCTTTTTGTGTGTGCCAAAGACACTGCTGAACACACTCCACCACTATGAGCACGCAGAGAACAAGGCATGTGACACAAGTCTTGTCATGTGCCTGGTCGATCAAACAACAGCAATGTCACAAAACAACACTCTGCACAGCTTATCGAGCCAACTCCCCCTTCCCCCCCTCTCTGTTCCTCACCTACACCGGCGGCGACAGTTATAGCCCGAAGTGATGGAGACAACAATGGAGAGCGCAAAGTCCTGTACAGTGGGGAAGCCCAAACAGCATACAACAGCACATTCGCGAGACCCTTTTTTTAAAAACAGAACTCTCTAGCCTACTGGGCCGCAGGCATAGTGCTGCATGCGGAGTGCATTGGTTTTCCTGAAGTTCATTGAAAGCCAGAAAGCCAAATTGCAGCATTTCATTGAAAGCCAGAAAGCCAAATTGCAGCATTTCATTGAAAGCCAGAAAGCCAAATTGCAGCATTTCATTGAAAGCCAGAAAGTCATGTGCTTGAACAGAAAGCAGAAAGCACCAAGTTATACATCAAATAAGATCAGAGCAATGAACTCAAATGACAATGTCACCCCATCATCTCGCCTCCACCATCATTGTACTCTTCCAATTGGCGCTCGGCGCCCAGATTACGATCAGACAGCACCTAAACTAGCCTATCAACCTATGACGACAGCAGGTCTCCTTGGAGTACAACTGCCAGATGATGAATGAAGACTTCGGCTTGACCAACCATGCCCACCATCACCAGGTATGTGCCATCTCCCTTCTTCCTATCGCCCGTCCACCTGCCTTGCCGAGGACCTCCGTTCTACCACCTCTGGCTGTACAGTGTACAGGCAGTGGCCAGGCAATGGCCGCCTGCTTGGCCTTGGATGCGCCCAGCAGTCGCTCATGTGCCCTGCCAGTGCGCCCCTCACCCTGGCCCTTGTGCTGGGCACGTGTGCTTGAGCGAGCAATGCAGCAGCGCTCACACCCGGCAGCCAGCGGCAAGAATGAGAGTGACCTCGTCTCACACCCTTTTGCGCAGATCGTGGCCTGGCCTGGCAACTTCGAGACAGCACGGCCTCTGTCCCAGTAGCTTCGCCCAGGGCCTCAGCATCTTGCAACCGACCGGTACTACCGGTTGGTTGTGGGATGCTGCGTACCCAACAAACCCACGGGGTTCCTGCTTCCTGATTGGCCGAAAAGGTTCAGGCCATGTCCTGTCTACGGTGTAGGCCGCCTTCACTTAGGACTGGGCCCCGATTTTATAGAGGGCCGGGCCCCTTTTCTCACCTGCCTCTGCGAGGGGCCCTTTTTCACTGTGGCAGTGGGCCGCATGCCTCGCACTCCCTCCCCAGCTTCCGAACCGGCCAGGGCCACGTCGGGGGGGGCCGGGGGGGAGGGGGGGCGCGGGTTGACCCCCTGGGGTGGTAGGGGGGGTTGTGAGGGCACCCCCTGTATTTTTCTCTTTTCAATTCGTTTTTTCCTTGGGGGGGGGGTGAAAAATTGAAAAACAAAATGATTGATTGGATTGATTGGTTGGTTGATTGATTGATTGAATGAGAAAGCCGCTCGCAACAGCGCGCGGTAGTGTGAGAGAGCGAGGAAGGCAGCGGGAGCGGGGCAAGCAGTGGGAGCCGGGCAGGCAGTGGGAGCAAGAGAGGCAGTGGGAGTGGGAGCGGGGAGGCAGCAGGAGAAGGGGAGGCAG